GATGGAAGAATATCTGATGAATTATTAATTATTATTAACTTGATTTTTATTTTGAATATAGCAATGGCATTGAGACTTATATACCGCCTCATAATGCTTTACAACCGTCTCTAAGCAGTTTACTGTCAGCATATTGCCCCAGCAATCTGGATCCTCATTTTACTGACCTTGGAAGGATGGCAGGTTGAATCAACCTTGAACTGGTGACGTTCGAACTGCCCAACTGCTGGCAATCGGCAGTCAGCAGAATTAGCCTAAAATACTGCATTCTAACCACTGAGCCACCATATATAGTACAAAACCATAATTTACGTAGGATGGCAAGGTGTAATTTTTGTATAAAAATGAAAACAAACTGAAATAACAAAATATTTTGGGATATTGCAGAACCAAAAAGATTTATCAATACTAAGAGAGAAACGGTGCTGTAGATGATTATATAAGCATTTGCTGCATGTTTTAATAGAATGCTAAAATTTACTATGGATCTGGCAGTATCATTTAAAGGATACTTTTAACATAAGACAGAAGCCAAGCTGGATTCTTGGGCAAGCTTCCTGTATCAGAGTGTTCTTAATTTGGCAGGCAGTTAATCAGCATTCAAGCATATTGTAAGGCTTGGCAGCAAGTTAATTCCTTTTCAAAGAACTCCCTTTAGTTGGGTTCATTTAACCAAAGATGAAAAATGAGTACTTCCACTATTTAAGAAGATTATTGCTAATTCTATGCTTCTTGGGCAAAATTTAGTAAAATTGATCAAAACAAATTTACTGCAGTACTGTGCATAGGGGACTTAACTGAATTATAGGGTGGTTCTATCTGTCTGCATTTGAAAGAACTCTCCTCACTCCCACTCCCTCACCATTGTCTAGATTTTACTAGATATGGTTAGAATCTAGTATGCTAGATTCTGGCATGCTAGAATGATGTTAGGTATGAAAGTTACAAGCAATTGCCTTCTCCAACTTTTAACACCTATGTTGACTTTAACATATTTCTATATCATATCCATTATTGTACACCTTAAACTAGAATGATTAAAGTATAACTATGAGCATGTCAGGTTAAAAACTGTATAAATTATTATTTGTAATTATAGAGAGTGCATCTGTTTATATGATATTTTTTATTTTAACTGAGATCCACATACAGCACATATTTAAAATAAATATATACCAGGATCTATAGAACAGATAACTCTGCTGTCAGTTTCAAACTGTGGCCTGCCTCTTCCTGTAGCTATTTCACAGCTGTTAGAAAACATTAGTCAGACTTGAATCTATCATAAGTAGAACCATTTGGATTGTGTGCACGTGACACTTATAAGACATTATATACATGGAGTCTTCAACTTATGATCACAATTGAGTCCAAAATTGAGGTTGCTAAGTGAAATTTGTTAAGTGAGTTTTGTCCCATTTTACAATTTTTCTTGCCATATTTATTAAGTGAATCACTGCAGTTGTTAAATTAGTAACACAGTTGTTAAGTGAATCTGGTTTCTGGTTTGAATTTGCTTATCAGGACACAAAAGGTGATCACATGACTCCAGGACACTGCAACCGTCATAAATGTGAGACAGTTGTCAAGCATCCAAATGTAAATCAGGTGACCATGGGGGTGCTGCAATGGTCATAAGTGTGAGAAATGGTCATAAGTCACTTTTTCAAGTGCCATTGTAACTTCAGTCACTAAGTGAACTGTTGTAAATCGAGGACTACCAGTAATATGGATTACTCTATGGTATATAGTAATCAGCTGGTCTTTGCTGTTTCCTTTTGCAAAGATATGATGAAGCAAAAGATAAAAAGAAGTGAAATATGAATATGTTGTTGGGGATGTTAAACTCACATGCCATGTCCAGTTTATGAAATTTTGGTGGCAAGCAACAATGAAAGATAAGCCCTCTAGACTATACTTTTCTTGGCTGGTGAGGTTGCATGCTCCCTACCCATTTCTGTGGGTGTAGGGAGAAGCAAGAGCAAAGTAGACAGATGGTCTAGACAGAGACAAAGAGGGAAGAAAGGGGAGAATATCATCTGTAGCCCAGAACAATAGAGAGCTCCCACTCATTGTACCTAGCAAGAGAGCAACTGCCAGAATTAAGCAGAAGGTTGCCTGTCATGATCAAAAACTTGATCCTCTCTGGGAACATAGTTGAGCAAGAGGTAACTGGCAAATATTGCAGCACTGTGACATTAATTGGGTTCATCAGTCACTGAGGCCAACGTATCCAAGCTAAGAAGAAAGCATGGTTCTGCCCCAGGGAAGATGAAGAATGGCCCTACATTGAGACACCACCACAACTAGACCCTAGGGCAGCACGTGTTTTTTTGTCCTTGCCTGTTCCCCCTGCCACCATCACCACCATAGCTTCTCCTTATCTGGAAAGACTGCATTCTTTTATTTTTTAGGCTGATGAACTAACCATGCAGCATTTATAACCACAACCCCTATCCTAAAATACAGAGGTTAATGAAATTATTCATGTGGACTCTTAGTTTGGAGCTGGATTTTTAAATTCTATGACTTCAATATTCTATGAATATTGAAAACCCATGCAGATTAATATAACTTTTTAGATTTTTTTTTAAAACCTGGATTTGGTCCCGGGCCCAGATTAAGGTCTATTGTTTGTTCAATAGCCTGTTTTTTGTTAGTTTATTTGTTTGTTGTGTTGATGTTGCTCTCTGTGATATTTTGGTCTGGGATGCTTCATTTAATATTGTCTTTTGTCTAGTTTTGTACCTCACCCATAGCCCACTGGAGTTGGGCTGCCAACAATTTTAAATTGATAAATACTATTCATGAAGATTGTATAAACATTTTTATACTATTTTTTATTATTTTATATTTTTCCCCATAGGAAAAGATGAAAAATAAACTGATCTTCAGAACCCAATTTCCAAACACTAGAAACATTTTTCATAGCATAAATCTGTGCATCTCTATTGACTTCAGAAATACTTTCTCCCAAGCAAATATGCACAGGACTTCAGCCTAGCATTTTTTCTTTTTATATTTACAAGTATACAAAAAAGGAGGTGGAGTTGGCAAGTAAAACTAAGACTTTTGAAAATGGAACAGATTCAGAATCATGGCATTCATACCTCTCTGAGCTAAATTAGGGAGACTATATTAACTTTGCTATTTTGGACATGAACTGTTTGTATATCTTAAATTGATCTATTTCTACAAATGTTTTCAGGGGGGAAATCCTCAAGTTATTACATAATGGTCCTCTTCTGATTAATTCCTAATGATTTATAAATAACTCTTAATTATATCTATTAATAAGACTGAAAGGCTTCACTTACTAGTTAACAGTCAAAATGCATATAGCATAGGACAGGTTTTTCATACACAAAGCAATTACTGGCTTGATAGCATTAGCAAGTAATCATGTTTTGCTGCACTTATGCAATAAAATACCTGCAAGCTTTAGCTTTATCCCATTATCCCTCTAGAAAAGATCAAGGGTCAAGCTTGTAATTGCAGGATGGACAGCTATATAAATTCACAGCTATGTGTTTTTCCTTCAACACTTTGGCAAGAGGATATCAGGAAAAACAATGACTACAAAGGGAGAGGAGCAAACACTCTGCTTTAAATTTGCCCATAATGTAGTCCAAAACAATTAGCCTGTAAGGCTCTGCAAAGATTCAGATTCAAAGGGCAAAATTAGATTTGAAGTGTGCAGATACATAGGTACCTGTCATTGATAACCAATTCCATCTTTCCCATGATATCATATATTTTGTTTAAAATTGTGTGCTTGCTTTGCCTATTCCCAATCTTTTTTTTAATTCTTCAAATCATGAAGAAGCCTACAATACCACTGTGGATAGGAAGAAAAAAAGTTGCTTGCTTTTGTTTCATTTGAATTGAAACAGCAATTCATTCAAGCTACTTTTCTACAACATGTAATAAAATATTTGCTTCTTGAAAGCTATGGAATAGCCTACCTTCTTGCTCATTGTTCCTTCCAAAGTGAGAAAAGGAAAAGTATGAATTCTAAAAAGAGTTTCAAGATGTCAACAAATTAATATGAACTATAAATCTATTTACATGGACACTAAATGGCTCTTTAAAAATGTTTAGACGATTAGATCTGTCCATTTCCAAGCACAGAATTAAAAGCAACAAAAGGAGAAAGATAACAATGAACTATCTAATAGAACAATAGCACCGGAGGATAATCTAAATCGGTTCTTTTTAAACTTGGCAATTTTAAGATGTGTGGATTTCAACTCCCAGAATTCCTCAGCCAGCCTGCTGAGTCCACTTATCTTACAGGCACCAAGTTTGAAGAACACGGATCGAAGTCAAACTATACAAAGCACAAAGTACGGCGATCGTACGTTGCCTTTAACTTTCTCTTTGGTTAAGATCGGGGGTCCCCAAACTTGACAAATTTAAGACTTGTGGACTTCAACTCCCAGAATTCTCCAGCCAGCTATGGTATGCTGGCTGGAGAATTCTGGGAGTTAAAGTCCACAAGTCTTAAAGTTGCTAAGTTTGAAGACCTCTGGTTAAGATAAACATCTCCAGCTTCCTTAAGTAGGCCTTGGTAGGCATTTTCTGAGTTGGCTCCCCCTTCTCCACGTTTATAATCCGTAATGCGGGACTCGGACTCGACATCGTACTCCAACTGCGGTCTAAAGTAGGATAATATGCCGTCTTCTCGCGATGCCGATGTGATAGCTCCTTTCCTCTCTCTTTCAGTCATCGGCGGTGCTCATCTGTTGCTAAGAGCAACCAAGCCTTTTCCGCTTCTGGCCAATATGGCAGCGCCCTGGCTGAGTTTGGGGCGCCGGTGCTCTAGCGCTCTATCGTTCCCGTGGCGGGCAAAGAATTCCGTTGACAGCAGCTGATAGGAAAAAGGAGAGCGCTGCGAGACAAGGATATTCGTAAGCGGGCAGATCACTGTCTACGGTTAATAACTTGGGGAAGGTTTCCAAGGCCAAGCCCGGTGCCCGGAAGGAAAAGCCAGTAAGGCGGACGAATAATCGCGGAATAAGATAATAAGGGGACGAGAACAAAGAAAGAGGAGAGGGGAGGGGTGGCAGCACTTTGCTACCTTTGAACTAGAGGTTTCCTGCTTTCCACGCCAAAAGGGAGCCCAAAGACCGGAGTCAGAGAAGCCGCGGACCATATGAAGTGGCCAAGTATTTAGTTTCTGGCTGCTGTAAGCTTGAAGCCTCATTTCTAGGCATTTGAATTGTGTAATTTTTCAGATGAAATGCCAGGCCCAATTGATTAGTTGGCGCATTTTTTTTAAAGTTCTGAATCATGTAATTTAATTTTTAATAATGACACTAAATGAATAATTAATGCAATTTATCTTTACAGGAATTTCCTTAATTGTAATCAGAAATTTATACCACACCATTGTCACCTTCAGAATGTCTGAATCAAAGTTTCGGGAGGTTTTGCCCAAGCACGGTAAGCAGCATTTATTACTAGGAATGAAAAAAAAAAAAAAGCAAAATCCACCTTAATGTTTTCTAGAGTCCTTTGTAAGAATTCTGCACTTATTCTTACTTTAAATTAAAGGTGGGGGATTATGTGGTAAATTTTTAAATGTTGTAAACTGTCTGGAATCACCTCTGTATGAGTTGGGAACCTATAAAAATAGTTTAATAAATAATAACAAATTACAGATAACTAGTATCTGTATAATTTACCATTCTGTATTATATATATGAAAAATACACTCTCGTAATGTTTCCTTCCTGGCACTAATACCATTTCCTTTTAAAGTAGTCTATATAACATAGATAGATGGGAGCCTATTTCAGAATAAAGATCTGAGTGATTTTGTTCAAATAGCAAGATTTACCTACTAGAACTTGGTTTAGACCAAAGATAGCCAAAAAGTAGATTGGATAGTTTCTATTTTCCAATTTATCAGTTACAGAAACAAGCTTATTTTTTCCCTTTTGTCCTAAAGCAGCAGTCACCAATCTTTCCAGCTCAACAGATGACTTCTGTCTTTTAAATAATCCCTTTCTGAAGTAGATTTTGTCAGCTAAAATGCTGTGATTCCATTTTGAGAGTGAAATTGGAAAGTATCAAATTTGAAATCTCTGTGTAGATTGTCTTGTGTGAAAAATCATCTATTTTTGCAGTATTTACATATAACCTGATATACACACAGATAATTTTATTGGGATCCAAATAGGAACTGTAATATTTGAATCTGTTTAATTGATATATCTGAATTTATTCTTTGACATTATTGGACATCCTATTTGCATTGTTTTAGGGATGTTAGCAGTAGAAGACATAACTACCATGGTGATGTGCAAGCCCAAACTGTTGCCATTAAAATCTGTTACTTTGGAAAAACTTGAGAAAATGCAACGTGAAGCACAGGAAATTATTCAACAACAGGAACAAGCTGCACAGCAGTGTTCAACATCTGCTCTTGATCAATAAGAAACCTACATGATTTTCCTACTGGTCTATAGTAGTGTACATAACAATATAATGATTTATGGATAGCAAGGTGAAGTATTTTTATCAAATGTATTTTAGATAAATGTCTACATGTTTGTGTTAATTTTGTAAATATCTGGAAAACTATCAAAATTACATTCAGCTTCTTGATGTACAAGCTGCATATCTTGTTGTAATATTAGTGGAATTTCTGAATAAACAGTTATGCTACCAGGGTTCATATATGCTGAACCATAGTGATTTCTTGATTTTGGCTTTATGTGTTACATGAATACAGCTTTTAAATCATGACTTAGTGCAACGTGTAAACCAGATTTAGAAAGTTCAAGTGTCTAATGATTATTAGAGGCCTCATGATGTATTTAATATTCATCTGGAATGTCGTCCACACAAGACACAAACATACACTATTCTTTGTGCATAAAGGGAGTAAGAGGGTGCTTTAGAAAAACTAATCAGTCCCTACTTAACAATTATTATAATTAAATTAAACTAGCTTACTTAGTAGGCTTTTAGCATTCCGGTCTCAATATAAAGGTATTTCTAAAATGCAAACACATTGCAGGAACCTCAAATGCTACTGAAATGTATTAGTGGAAAAGGGAGTAGTGGTATGCTTTCCGAGGCTTCCTCTTCCCAGATCCAGCCATAAACCTCTAAGAATTCAACCCCAACCCTTCTGGCATATAACTGGAAGAATTTTTATGGGTCCACAATTGCTCAGATTAATAAATTGCAGCTTCAGATAAAGGGAACAATGTTTATGAAAAAAGAAACACCAGAGACATCATGACTGTATAGCATTACTGTAGTCTCAATGGAACCTAGTTTAACGCATATTCCCAATGTACAAGTATGTAAAAAAAGGAAGAATGTAATTATACATGCATTGTGCTTGTTTATTCCCAAATTTAGTTCACTGATGAAATCAAGTAATATACGAACATATAGCTCCTTTTAGGACCAAGGTGAGAGATTTAGATATTGTTTTCAATGTAAATCAACAGGTACTTCTAGAAGTTAAGAATCTACTCCATAAATTTATTTTACAATATACTCTATAACTGTCCTTTTTCCAGTTTTATAGAAAAAGAATAGATGTTCCAGCCACCATTTGCTGAACTAAAAACCAAGATCTTCCCCTGAAAAATATGTTTTGATCATACTAAATTTCTTAGCTCCTTTAAAACAAGTAACTTTCTGTCTTGGTAGCAGCAAAATAGAGGTCTAGCAGCTTAATATAACCCATTGCTTTGAATAAACCAGTGATTTTATCACAAAACGCTGTCCTCAAAGAAAGAAGCGACAAGCAGGCATTAATGCAAAACATGGAATGATTGGATTGAATTTATGGCACTTAATAAAAGATTGCCTTGTTTCTGCAAATTTCCATAAAAATGTGGTTATTTGTTTTGTCCAACTATAGGTTCAGACAAATGAAAGTTGGAAGATTTCTTGCATGAACACAAGTTTATATAACCGTCAGAAATTATTAGTGCCCCAAACAAGTGCATCTTCTAAAAATAAATGAACTGTGCTAAGCAACTATTAATATAGAATATATACACATATATTCCCTTTAAACATCTACAGCTGCAAGAGTTCATTCACGTATTCAGTAGCTCTCAGACTTCAGACGTCCTCCATCTCCTTCACTTACAAAGCGTTTCCTTCCCCTAAAATAAAATATAGATATCATTTCAGCAATTCCACTATTCTTTTAGATAGTCTTATAAATGGTTTTATAGACAGTTTTAAGTAACATAGTTTTGGACACCAACAAAATATGAACAAGTTTACATTATACACATGTAATTACAAGCTTTAAAAGGGTTATTCACATTTCTGAGATATTCACATGAATAACTAAATAAGAACCTTATGTAATTTACTTGTTATTAGTTATTTCTAAAACATATGAACATAAATATATACACACAAATACACATATACTTAAATGTTTACCTGGAAGGACAGAGATCCCTTAATGGTTTTGAAATTATTCCAGCACTAAAACATTCCTCTACAAATCGCTCAAGTACAGAATATGAATGTGGAACATCAAGATTAATGTCTGGGATTTCATGATAAACACGTTCATAACCCTGCAACATCAATATTAGGTGGAAATATTTAGGATTTATCACAGACCGATTCTGTATAAAGAGTCAATCTTCATATTACCTTTAAATTTTCACTTCAATAAATAAATAAAGCTCTAAAACAGAGCATTTTCAAAGAAATAGGTCAAGTAGCAAATAATGGCAAAGATCTCTGCCCAATCAAAATAAACTTAGATGTTCTAACATTGATCTTCTGCAAAGCAGTTTCCATAATTTTTTTTAATGTACCCTTTCAAATTATGTAATAAATCCAACATTTTGTGTTAGCTTAATTTAGAACACAGATATTAATGTCACTTAGTGAATACAAATAAGTGAAATCTATCAAACATTAATATTAAAATATTAATGGAAAATACTTAGAAATGTATAATGCACATTTACTCTTTTCATTTGGTCCATAGTAATGACAGCAGATCTCCAGAGGGATTTCAACAAACTGAGCATCATTTTAAAGTTTGTTTCTCCAGTTGATTCCAAAACCATCACAACGGCCTAAAATGTAAACTCAAAGTTAATTTTTAATTACAATGGTAAAAAAAATGCTGCATTATAGAGTGGGCCCTAACTATTGCATCAGGATCAAAAAGAAGCTAAGAGTCCAAGAGGCTGGTGCTATCCAATCACACTTTGTTATTCAGGTTCACTTTTAGCAAAAAAATGGCTTCAAATATATAAAATATACGCATATATGAAATGTTTATAAACATTTAAAATATATAAAAGAATTCAGGCAAGATTGTTGTGTCATATTCACCAGTGCACTGAGAATATGTAAACATTACTGACAGCTGCCCTCCATTTTAGGTAGTAGGCCTTTCCTTCTTACTTGCAGATACCAGAGGCTAAATCTAGGATATTCAGAGTTTGAGGTTTTTTCATTACATATGAATGAGTTTGGAGGATCAATTACAGCAGAAAGGAACCTATTTAAAATGTATTGTTTATCAAAATATGCTCTTAAAATAGTATTATGTAGGCTAGGTTACTTAGGAGCATCAGCTTGATAACCATTAAAGATGGTATAATTATTTAAACTACCTATGAGAAGTCATAATCTTTCCTGTATGTTTGTATTTTTTGATTACTAAACAATTAAATTTCCAGTGCCAATTTTTATGTTTTATTCCTGCCTTACTTCATATACAAGTTCATGGTGAAAATGGGGTACTTCTAACTCTTGAAGACAACGTTCCGCTTCAGAAACATCTCCTGAAAGAAGGTACTCCTTCAACAGCATATCAATCTATTGAATTAAAAAGATAACACTATATTAGGCTAAAAAAACTAGGGTTTTTCTAAAATCTATAAGGATGTAAATCTACATTTCCATTCCATAAGCAAAAGATAAAAAAACAGAACCATAAAATGCAAACAACACAGAGTAATATTTATGCATTTATTATACACATACCTTCACACAGTCTATCAAATAAAATTATAATTTTTTATTATGTTTTGGCTGCAGGTTTCTATTTTCTTTGAATTTCTCACTCCCAACTTACAAACAAATAATTATATAGGGCGTGCTAATAAACGTCAGATCCCACAGACAGTCACCATGTTTTATTAATATTATCTTATTAGTATATTGTATGAACATCATTCAAATAAATTATTGTATTTAGGAATGTTTAATAGTCAGGCATCAAATGAACAAGCATGTGTTTAGAAGAAAATAGCAACCAATTCAAACATTTATTGTATTTTTATATATAGATCATGATTTTTGATATACCATATATAGTTAATAGGAAGTCATAAAAATCCATGCTTGTTAGTGTTTTATTATTTTAAAAATGTCAGTATGCCTAGGTGCTAGAAGCCCAAATTACAAGGATCATTTTTTAGTCTAAATCATAATTGTAACCGTATTTTTCAGAGTATATGATGCACCTTTTTCCCTCAAAAAAGAGGCTGAAAATCTGGGTGTGTCTTATACACTTGATACAGCATTTCTGTCCTCCCTTAGCCTTTAGGAGGCTTCCAGAGTGCTCCTGGGGGCTGGGGAGGGAAAAAATGAGTGAAAAACAGGCAATCCCCCTCCCCAGCCCCCAGGAGCACCGTAAGCCTCCTAAAGGCTATGCAGGCCCATTTTGGAAAAAAAAACAGGCTATTTTTTGCTTGTTTTTGCCTCACCCCTGCCTCCCCCAGCCTCCAGGAGCACACTACAAGCCCCCTAAAGTCTATGCATGCCCCCCTTTTTTTACAAAAACAGGCCCGTTTTCGCGAAAAACGGGCCATTTTTGGGAGGTCTGCAGAGTTCAAAAACTTTATTTTTAATTTGCCTCTTCAAAATCTTGATGTGTCTTATACTCTGGTGTGTCTTATACTGCGAAAAATATGGTATATAGGTTATCAACATACTTTCTATAAATGCATGCATATAATTTATCAAATATTAAATTTAAATTATTAATTAAATTTAAATTATTAATTAAATTTAAATTAATTAAATTTAAATTATTAATCAAATTTGCATAGCTGTCCATCTCAACAAGCACTGACTTTAAGTGGTGTATAATAATTAAATAACAATAAATATATATAATTAACAAATATAATCAACGTTAAATATATAGTATGTATATGCCACACATTTTTAATATAAAGCCTGTTTTCAGCAGTGTATAAACAAATTGCATAGTTTCAGTGGTTCCTCATCTCAAGGAAGGGAATGCTATCCATTCTTAAGTACAAGTTTTGACTTATATAAAATGTAAATTTGAGGACAGACTGAGAATGGAACTTGTTCTTCAAGGGCACTGCATATATGTTTCACAGGGCTGTTTTATTCTCTATTGTCAGATCTGACTTTGATATAGGTACCAATAAGGCACAAACACACCGTGCTAATCCTTGATTGGTTGCACCATTACAAGTTACAAGATTACTTCATGCAACATCACAAATACATGCTGTGTTCTTTCCCTACCACCCAATTCACAGCAAGAAGCACAGAACTATTGCTGCGTCTTCTGCTTACTGTTTTTCTTCTTAAAGCTGCAGAAACAGTAAAATGTAACAAAGAAAAACAAAGAAATATAAAATGTCTGTAACAATTCTGCAACTGATTTTCTTAATAACAATTACCA